GATGGCTAGAGGCAGAGGTAGATAAGGTATTTCTATTGATAATGAGGCACAGGAACAACAAGATATAGGTGCAGGTGTAGGGAGAGGGAGAGAGAGAGGGGGGGCAGAGGCAGAGCGAGAGGCTCAATACCACCATTGCCTCCACCACCACCTCCACGTCATTCACCTCCACCTCCACCTCCACCTCCACATCATGCACCTAAGACTACAATAAGTACAAGTACTCAAGCATAAGCTTCATCAGCAGGTGGAGCTAATGCATCTGTGGGAGGTGATAGTTGTTGGCCTCGTATTAATCATAAGCAGATTGAAATAATCAAAGGGAGGTAAGAATAATAATGTATAAAATATTTTATAAGGGAAAATAGTAATCAATTACTTAATATCGCTGATTTACACTCAAAATGGAAACTAAACAATCATATACTTAATTCATTATGCATGAGAAAAATCAATATAAATGCTTTATGTTCAAGTTTATAGATTATATTTATATATGTGAATGTCTTTCAATGTTAGGTTGGAGTCGTTTGGTGATGCTTCCAAGCATATCACTAAGATATTCAAGGAGAAACTTGATCCGAGAGGGATAAGTTGGAAGATGGTGTCACAGAGCACTTTTGATTAATACTGGAGTGAGTTTCAGGTAATAGCTATTGAGATACTAGTATTATGACATATTATTTACATTTCATCGAAATTATGCAAAAGTTTCAATGGTTGGTTGTTATAGATATTTGTATTATGGGACAATATATTTACATTTCATCGAAATTAATGCAAAAGTTCAATGGTTGGTTTTTAAGATATTGTTAAATGTTGATTTTATCAATAGGTTTTTTTTTTTCCAATAACTGTCAGTATTAATAAGGGAAACTCTGGCCGAATTTTATTTTTAAATTACATATATTTTATATTTCATGTTGGCCTTACTTGTGCATTATTGCTAATGTAGAATTACAATAAAATAGTTTAACTGACATGGTGATTGAACACTATGGGTTAAATGGCTACTGAGAGCATAACGGCTAAGACGAGAATATTTTATATTTCATGTTGCTTATTGTGCATTATTGCTAATGTTATGATTACATAAATAGTTTTACTGGGACATGGTGATTGATCATATGGTTAAATGGCTATGAGAGCATAAGGCTATAGAGAGATACAAGGACCTCATACATGAGGTGAAGAGTAAGGGAAAAGAACCATATGTAAATGATCATGTGTGGGAAAGGTGGAACTGGATACGGGCAACACCTAAGCAGGTCAAGAAATCGGCACAACAATTCAAGAATAGGCGTACCGAAAAAGGAGGTGTTGGACCTGGTCCATCTTGCCATACTAGAGGTTCTATCTGCCATTCTAAGCATAAGAAGCGTATGGTAAACTTTCTAAATTTTTTTGATATATGTATATTTAGGTTATATGTAATTAAGCTATTATATTTAGATACACTATTTTATTTAAACTCAAGCAATTGAGTTGGGACGAGAAGCTACACTTAGTGAGTTGTTTTATTGGGTCCATACAAAGAAGGGTGATAGAAGTAAATGAGTTAATAAATGAGCTAAGAACTTTTATATAAGTGTTTAGGTCTGTTTTTTTTAATTGTAAACTGTATATAGATTGTATTAATTTTATCATAGGTTATCATTATTAGAATTGAATGTTAAACCAATTTGTAATGACATATATATAACACTTTATTGCAGGAGACTTTACAAGGAGTCAGGGAGGATCAAGCATCTCACTACCTTAGGATCCCATTAATGACACAGAGATATACCTAACAATTGCTAGAGGACAAGGCAAACGGAGGATATACGAGGTTGGATCTGAGGCGACATCCTATTTATCCCAATCTAATTATCCTTCGCATTTTATAGCAGCTGCACGTGCAAGGACTTTCGGAGATACAGTTCAGTCTCTTGTAGAGCGACACGCTGCACTAGAGAGGTTTGTGATGCAGTAGTCAGAGTTGCTTGCTCAATAGTCATATACGATCACAGAGATTCATCAGCATTTATGCATTAGACCCACTCCTCCTACTGATCCGCCAGCTATAGATCAGACTGATATTATCTCTACACATGATCCTATCTCTAGAGATGAAGTTGATCCAGTCGGAGATATACGTCTTTCTGATGATCAGCCAATTGGGGATCAGTCACGGGATCCTTAGATTTTTATTGTAGGCTATAGTAAAACATAATATTTTGCTTTCTTAAAACGAAACACAGTATTAAATATAATACTACTTTTATATATTTGAGACTTATGTTTGTTTGTGTTTAATGTTATGACTCATAGTTGTTTATGTTTAATATTATGTAAACATTAGCTTATTTATATATTTACTTGTCCAAAATTTGAATTTATTTTTATAGGTAACTCGAAACAAGTTGTTTATTTGAAAAAATAAAAAAAAAAAAAAAATTGAATTTCAGCAAATTTTACCGATGGAATACCCATCAGTTACTAATGGAAACATAATTTTAAAAATAATAATTAAATATTTACCAATAAAATACCAACCTTTTACTGACGAAATACTGACCATTACCGATCAAAATATTAAAGGATTTAACAACCAAATTACCAACGACAATAAAATAAATTATCGACCAAATATTGTAGCTAATTTCCCAAGGCATATTTTTTTTTGGTAGCTAATTTTTTATCGATAATGCAATTACTGACCATATAATTCTGGCGGCATTCCATCAACGGAAATATCCGTCGGTAATAGCCGAAATTGTTGTAGTGTAATGAGAACCTTACATGCCTCTAATTTGACATCGCATATCTTTTTTTTTCATTTATTCAAAGAAAAAGTATTTAAACTAAAATTAAAAGGTATATGAATAGAAAAGTTTAATTTATTGTTTGTAAGACTATAATTTAGCCCATCGACCTCAATTTTATTAAATTTGAATTCAAACTTGTTAAAGATATATTTAAATTTGAGCTCAATTTGAGTTTAATTCAAGCTTTAAAAATTAAATTCCAGCTCAACTAATTTACAATTTATAGCTTAAAAATTTGCTTTTCTAGATACTTGGATTTGAAATTGAATTTAACTCATTTATTAAACAGACTCAATAAGAAGGCTCATGATGAACTTCTTAAACGTGTTTTTCTGAGCTAACATCAAGTTTGGCTTGCATGTCCTAATTGTTTGTAGGGCTGAGCATTCCTTTAATTGAATCAAATTGATTCAATTTGATTTAACCTAATGCATTTCTATGGTCATTGAAACTGGACCAAACACTATATAAGTTGGTGTACTAAATCTACCCGGTTTGAGTTGGTTCAGTTATTCCAAATCGAGTCACCTATCTTAGGCATAAAAAATTAATTGGTTAGCTTTATATAAAACTGAACCAAAATTGAAAACTGAACAGCAATTATTTTTCAAAAAAACAAACCAAATCAAACCGAAATAAGATTGTTTATGTATGAAAAAATCAACTTGTCAATAATATAGGGAGCAATGCTACCTACCAACGAGCCAACAATTGAGAGAATGCACTGTATATGACACCAACGCAGTGTATTTTAAGATTGGTGCAGATCTTAGCAAATAAAAAAGGGATCGTGTTGGGGTAATAAAGCAAGGGATGGCGAACATGAGAAAAAGAAACCTTCAGGCAAATTCATGACAAAACGATCTAAAGAGATACTATCAACACCATTGGCTTGTGGTCCCATCGTCGGGCTCTACTCCGGCTGTCTCCTTTGGCTGTGTACAGTCTCTTTTGTTTGTCTGTCTATCTTCCTCCGTCAGTCGACCCAAGAAAAATGACCATTGCTTAGGCAGGAGAAATGCAAGGGAAAGAAAGAACCAAGAAACTCTCCACCAACCATTGCTTTCACATTTCCCTAGTACTTGTTGAGTTTTTGATAAATTTTAAATTTTAATTAAATTGATTTAAGTGAGTGTTTACATAGGTTTATTTTCTTAATCTTTTGTTTGGCATTGGCTATTATATATCTTTTTTCTTCATCCTTTGTAGGAAAAATAATTTTGTCTCGTAACGAGCATGACTCATTGGTAATAAAATTACTTTAATACCCTTAAAGCAATAAGTATGATATCACCTTTTTACCCTTAATTTACGAAGAAGAGAAAATGAAATGATTGACTTGAATTTCAAAAATATCATTATATCTTTTGCATTGTTTAACTAAAAATTCAAAAAACTATTAATATTTTAGTTAATTTAACCATATTCATTGGTCTAAAAAACTGAACATGTATTATTTGACTTTTTCAAGGGGAATGCAAACACAATTTTTAAACAGTAGGATACATTTAAAAATGTACCCTGAAAAAAAAAACCTTTTATGTTGCAATTTTGAGTGCTCTTATTTAATTATATTATTATTGGAGGTTGTGCATATTCACTTGACAAGAGTGCACCCATTAAAAATATTGAGTGATGAGATCGAACATATAACCTCTTTCATATAATTAAAACACTCTACGAAACTATCACTAAGCCACTTCAAACATTATTAATAAACCAACATCTCGGACCTTCATTTATAATTTTAGTATTTTTGTTTTCATTTTTGCTAAATTATATAAGCATATAATTAATTTTATGGTTGATATCTTTGAGAAAAAAAAAATGTTTTTAAGTACAGTGCAAGCTTGAAGATTAAAACATTTTCCAGACTCAAATTCACACTTACCATTACATTGACTTTGACTTAATTCAGTTACACCTTCATAAAACATTAGGGACTAGCAAGCTATTTTTCTTATTTTTCTTGTTAATTGAGTTAGGCTAATAGAATTTTAATTAGATTATTATAGTTTTATCACCTTATTTGGGTTTTTAGCTGTTTACTTGATAAATATACGTCTTATTAAACTAGAACTCTGATGCTATGTTTATAAACCTCAATGGAACGTAGTATAAAGTAATCAAATATTTTCCCACTTATACTAGAAAACATTTGATTACTTTAGTCTTTCAATAAACATCAAGAAGTGAACTAAAATTTTATCATTCACCTCTTAATGTGAGATCAATCAAAAACTATCAGCCACATCAGGTATTTTACATGATTCCATAAACCACAATACCCATAGTGGCACATATACTCTAGACTGTGAGATGATAGAGGAACTGATCTACATTGCTAAACAAAAAAGATGCCCCCCAAAACTACCAACCACTGAAAAAGAAAAAGAAAAGGTTTACATCTACATTAACATTTCACTATTGATGTTTGGGTTGGTTGACGCTGAAATTCTCTTCAGGCTGCCTTTGCCACAAATAATTTGCTGCCTCTATCCACCGCGGGTGAACTAAAAACTTCTTATTCTTCATAGCCCAACGTGACTTCTCAGTGCCAGCTTCCGTGGAAACAACGTGTGTTATCGAAGAGTCAAGTTCTGTAGAGCAAATGGCTCCCAACTGCTCAGCCATTTTCCATAGCTGGTGATTGTTGGCCTGGAATTGGGTAGGGAAAACTCGACTGAAGACAATTTTGCATCCTTCCAGTACATCCTTACGGACAGTTTTCAACACCTGCAGAGCAAGATGAGAAATATAATTAACATAGTAAGATAGATAAAAAAAATATATATATAAATAAATAAATAAATAAATAAATAAGAAAGTAGTCTTGTTTTATTCTATTGTAATTTCTTGTATAAGGCCTTTTTCCACACATGTATTAAGAAACTGTTCCATCAAGGGAAAACAACTAGCAATTACCATCAGAATACATCAAATAATCAACATAACTAAAAAACGTTCTGCAATCTCAAAGAAACTGCAAATTTAACGTCCTACTTATCGGCATATGTAATCATCAAGTAGATGATCTGCAGAGTTGATTTCAACAATCAATTAAGGAAATAGAAGACGAACTTATGAAAAGCATGAATTCTGCAGAACAGAGTATTGAAGAAGGGTAAAGGAAATTAAGAAATGCTATCCTTCTAGAGAATCATTTACTTGAAAGCATTCTTCTAACAAGTGTGTGCCAATGCATGTGCTCATGAGCATGGAATAGGGGAGGGTCACAAGAAAGAAAAACGACCAGTTTGGTCAGTTTTCTGTTTCACCTGTCTCACATCTCTGCTATCAAGATTAACGTCCATCAGTTCCTGCAAGAAGGGTCCCTGTAATATCATAATCAAGAAACAATAACTGAATATAGTAACATAGATAGGAGAAGAGAGATCATACATCAAAGAAAATATGGTGAATTCTCCTTAAAACTTTAAGAACAGATGCAAGTGCTCCGTCAGAGTCACTCTCATCACTTTTCAACTCAGAAAGGGATTTGCAGCTGAAGCCAAATTGGTGACAACTTGAAGCGAAAAAGTGATATCTTTCCATCAAGATCAAATTATCTTTATGCTTTGTCCATGCCTGCATCAAATAAAAAATAGCTTATTAGCAAAGACACATAATAATTTACTAGCGCAAATAAGACTTTAAAATAATATACTACAGGTCAAATATAGGAAAATTGGCTGGAGAATAGTTTTCCAAATATGAACTATAGCATCATGAATAGCTGACTTATTATGCAAGAATAAGAAAATCTAGCTTAAACCAGGTACTGAAGACAAACAATTACACTGGGGATATAATTTCCCTTTCAGCTTCATATGTACTGTAGGTACAGGCAAACCAGCTTAAGATAGTTTCTACATGCTGAAATGATTGAATAAACTAAAGGAGAAATTGGTGGAAACAACTTCCACAAAGCATTTAGAAAAATATCTGCATATTTTGAAAGTTGGAATAATATGAAACAAATAATGGAAGCTTATACAATTATTAGTACCATTCTTGTAACTCAAATCACCTTCCTTCAAATGGGAAAGCCTAACTGTGGCAACCAACAGCAACAAGTACTCAAACATTGAGAAATGAATTTAAAAGGTAGTTGTAGGTAGACCAATGCAGAAAAGGAAGGCAAGAAAATTCAAATTCATTGACTGAAGTTTAATAGTGGTCCAGATCTAATGTACGCTTTACTGGGGAAGTTACAGACTACATCCCAGTTCTTTATGAGTCCCATTTTTTGTGTATGTTCAAATAAATAAGCCATGGTCCAATATTTCAAGAATTAGGGGCAATTTTATAATTTCTGGCTTTGCTAGAAAGTTTGTCCTTATTTCTTTAGGAGTCTTTATATTCAAGTCTTATTTTGTAGGATTGGGATAGTAATATTCCCTTTTAGTTTATTGTGGAGTCCAGATCCTTTGAAGACATGCATTAGTTTTGAAGTCCTCTTCAAAGATGGATTAGTTTTGAAGTCCTCTTCAAAGCTTAGAAGTAGCTTTGAAATTCTTTTATTAAGGAACTAGTATTAGTTTAAGTCTAAGGATGCCTAAGAAGTTTAGGTGGGATGCTTAATTTCTGCTGTTTTTACTATTCCCGCATTACTGTTCACCACCCTCTGGTTCTTCCACAAACAGCCCCATAATACCAGAGGCAATTCAATTCAGAGAGCAATTCAGTTTGTTTCGTCCAAGTTATAAAAACAATGGAAAAGCTAATTCAACAGGGAGGAACAACATTTCAATCAATCTCAAATCCGAAGAATCCAACACATTCATTTTTCAAGCAAAATAACGTTCTCCAATGTAGGGCAAGGCATAAGCTTTCAACTTTAAAATTATGCATCAAAAAAAAAAAAAAAAAAAAAAAAATCCAACCATTCATTTTTCAACAAAATAACGTCTCCAATGTAGGGCAAGGCATAAGCTTTCAACTTTTTAAAAATTTATGAAAAAAAAAAAAAAAAAAAAAAGTAAAGTAAACAACGAATAAAATACATTAAAAAAATTTAAAATATGGTAACTTTTTTTAAGTAATCAATCAGTCCCATTTTACAACCATTCTGTTAATCAGTTCTTTTATTTTCTTTTCTTTTTTTTCTTTATTTCTTAATAATCAATTTTGGATAGTTCGCGAGAGTAATACATTAATACACAATGGAAAGGAGGGCTAGTTCTGATGGGTAAAAGGATTCCACAAGCATAAGCTTGACTGGCTAAATGGCAAGTTGCACCACAGCATAAGCCATTTCAAATACAACATTAAGGATTCACAACTCCACTTCAAAAATCTGCTTTGGACATTTTCATAAGAGAGAAGGGAAAAACACAAAAAAAAAAAAAAAAAAAAAAAAAAAAAGTTCAAAAGAGTGAACTACGAAGAGAAAACAAAAATCAAACTAATGGACAAAGAAAAGTATAACCCATTGTCACCGAAGGCCAAGCACAACGTTATAAGGTTCGGAAACAGCCTATGTTTTGTTACCCGGTAACAGGACAGCCAAAAAAAAAAAAAAAAAAAAAAAAAAAAAATGTTCAAAGAGTGAAGCATACAGAGAAACAAATCAAACTAATGGACAAAGAAAAGTATAACCATTGTCAACGAAGCAAGGACACCTTATAAGGTCGAACAGCCTATGTTGTACCCGTAACAGACACCAAAACCTCCTGGACATGCTCGAACACATCGGATACTTTAGATAATATGTCCCTGTATTTTTTTGATTTTTGATTTTGGGGACTTTAAGAGTAGTTTTAAAACCTCTAAGGACACTTCTTAGACACTTTACAGACACTTTTGAATAGATTACATTTATTAACTAAAATTTTAAATTGGGATCTTAAATATAATTAGATAATTATTTAGCTTAAAGGTAAAAATTAAAAATAATATAAAAGAAGGAGAAACCTAAATTGTTGTTTGCTGTATTTCTATCTTTACCAAATTCAAGAAATAATTCATAGCTTTGATTTCAAATTCAACTCAAAAATTTGTTTACAACACTACAAGAATTGGTTTGTTACTATCTATTTTTCTTAATTTTCTTTTCTAGTTTTGAACTCTAAGCATGTCTTGAGCATGTCCTACTTTTCAAAATGTCATATCCCGTGTCCGTGTCATGTCACATCCCATGTCCCGTATCCATGCTACCTAGTCCATTGACATCAAGGAATAACATAAATTTGGCCAACACATTCAATGCATCTATTTGAATTTACTTGCAATTGAAGACATTGACATGAAGACAGCAAATTAAGTAAACATAAAGATTAGCTAATTGCATATAAACTCACAGTTTCTGTATCATCAAGTATCAGAACAGCACTTTCTTGGCCCAGAACAATATCAAGACCTTTTTGATGTCTTTGAGTTCCATCATCACGTGAAATAACTCTAGCATTGAAGTACTCCCTTCTAGGATCAAGTAATTTCGCCATTTCCAAAGCATATGCCCTATCACCCATAGTGTATATGTACATCTCAAACATTTGACTTGCTTCTTTCAGAAATGTGTGCACATAGGGCCTTAACTTGGTCATCATGTGCATGAAGTCCAACTTGAAGAGGCTACCATTAGAAACATCTATCCATTTCACACAAATATAAATTTGATAAAAAGCAGCTCCAAATGTCAAGAAGGACAATAAAATCCGGAAAAAAAAATTGTCAAATAAATTGGATGTCACAATATGCTAGGCATACAGTAGATGAAAATAATACTCAATCATCAGGATCTACAATGTGGTAACTACATCCAACTTGTATAGTACTAAATACTAACCAGCTACAGTTTCATGAAGATTCCCAGTAATTTGCAGGAGTTCATTAGGGGACAAAATGCCTTTGGTCAAGAGGCATTATCTAAATAATCTATCATGTATGCTGTCGAGGATTAGTGATGAACTATCTACACAAAGTAAACTAAAGCAATAACATGCAATTTATGCAAAAAGGATAATGTGATTCCATATATTTGCTCACCAGCAGAAAGACTACATATATGTCTATATTTATAAATCCAAACACACCTTCAGTGAGAACATAATTGTGATATTACAGGTTCGAGCACAATTATAAATTCAAATGGCAGAAAAGGATTGCATTGCTTCTCGACAGAATGGCTCACAATTAGCCAAAAAAATGAGACCGTAATCAAGTTTGCTTAAGTTTCCCTCTGAAGTTATACCAAGTCAAAGTTAAAGCCATTCAGAGAATTTACAAAATTGCTGTGTAAATCAATACTGAAGAAAACATCTTATTTAATTAGCAGATGGACTTAGCTGTCGTTGGCTTTTCAAAGTACTTTAGCCTGCTTCTATTGGTCAAATTATTATTCTCATGTACCATGTCTAACACATATTTGAAAGTTACAATGTATGCATGCTTGAAAATATTGCATGTCATGCTGGATATGAATATGTGTACTCAAGGAACACAGCTTGGTATTGTTAGGAAAAGATTCCAGGTTAGCAAAATGTTGACTGTTTTAATGAAGTAAACTATAGAAAACATTAGTTCCTTTCAAATGAAGCACCAAAAGAAAAGAGAGAGGAGAAATATGAGAGAGTAAGTATGATGCAATTCTTTGCGTCCTGATTTAAGATTAAACTTTGAAAGAATTAGTGCATAAAATTCTTCTTCTCTTCGCATCTTTCCCTCTCATTTAGTAAAAACAGAGAAATATGAGAGGATAAGTACGATGCAAGTTCTTTATTTAGAGTCTCTTCATCATAAATCAACTCCTCTTCTTGTTGTAATATCATTCATTCCATTATTAACAGTACCATAGGAATCACTTCCTTTCCACAACCATAAATGTTAGAATTCCCAAAATTGCATAGATCGCATTGTTGAAAAGGAGATACTACAAAATAGGAAGCCCCCAACGCTATGGAATGCTTTCCAATAAAATTTTATATTCCTAGGAAAGCTTTTCAACAATTAGCATTAGAACCTAGTAAACTACAATGCACATTGAGAACCTCCTCATGATAAGCAATAAGTTCTTCATATTCGGATGCATCAAATACAGTCTTCATTCAATGGTTTAAGCTCAAGTTAATTAACAAACAGTTAAGTTGCTACACAATAAATTCCTCATTAACAGCATTTAAGTAACCATAATATAGCTAATGACATTAACAATAATTATGGAGTAATTCTCAAGAAAAATAAAACATTAGAACAATTCCACAGCCCAAGCAGCATGCTTAATCAGGTAAAAAGGACACACCTTGCAGAGAATCTAGTTGACTCTTCAGATATTCCTCTTCTGCTGTCATATGCATAAGCTGAGTAGAGTTCAGCAATGTATGGTCTAGATCAAGAACCAAGTAAAGCTTTTTATGGCGTAATAAATTTTTCGTATCTGAGTTGCGTAATCGCACAATCTCGTCATTGCCAAGCCTTAACCCCTGCAAGTAAAGTTGTTCTCTATGCATTATAATTCTAGTAAAAGAAAGTGATAGATGAGAAGCCACAAAATGCTAGGGCAACAAAAATTGAACTTGTGGACATGAATATCCCAATATATCTAAATATGCTAATATACCTACTTCCTAAATGATAATTTCCTTTTCCTTTTCACATGAGTACATTGTCCAAGATAAATTATTGCTATGTCAATAAGAATGACGCATTAATGAACTGAGGCTTCTTTTATGCATATTTAAGGTTGCATACCTTGTGTATGTAGGCCAATGTGACACCAGTTTCCTCATTCAACCTTTGCCCACAAATTATACACATGTCTCCAAAAGATCCTGGATGTGTGCATGCAACCTTACTTGAGGATGCTCCTACGTAGCAATAGGTCAAATGTCAGAAGGAATCAACTTTGCCAAAATAGAATTTTTGTTTTTTTTTTTTTTTTTTTTTAGGTTCAAATGTTCAGAAGGGGAATCACACTTTTTGCCCCAAAAATAGGAATTTTGTTTTTTTTTTTTTTTTTTGGCGTGACCTACAGGCATTTACAAGTAGGTTTTTTTTTTGCGTTTGCATGTGTAGAAGCCTGTGGGTGGGGGGTGGGGGGGTGTGAAAAAAGGACTAGGCAATTATTAAAGGGCATACTGCGGGGGTGGGGGGGTGGGGGGGTGTGAAAAAGACTAGCAATTATTAAAGGCTACTGCATGAATCTCGAAGAAACATAAAAAATTTCACAAGACACATATGTACACATGCTTAACCCTCCTCTCAATATGCACACAGACAGCGAGAGTTATGATAATTCTAGGTTTATGCAGATTTGCGTACAGATGCAAATGGTATTTTGCTATTTTCTTAGATAGACACTAATTGCACATCAGAAGGATTTTCACTTCAGAAAAGACACTAATTGCAAATCCCTATAGACATGCAGCCCTGTTTACCTTTTACAGAGCAAATGAATTTCTATTGAAGGAAAAGTTCAAAAAGGGAACATGTTGCACTAAAGCTTTGACAAATACAAGGCAAAGGAATTTTTTGCTCCGTTTTATTTTCATGAGGTTTACATCATTGTCACCTTAGTATCATTTTTTGCTAATATCATTAAAGTTATAATTGCATGGCACACATGCCTTCATAAAATGATAATTATATTTGCATTCCATGCAATAACTAGATGGATAGCACATGGCATCAAACTAGTTTTGTGTCACTAATTTTTTATTTTCAAAACGAAATTCTAATATGGAGAATAAAAATAAAACATAAAAAGAATAGTATTCTTCATTAGGCATATTATAAATATAATTAAGAAAGTGTTTAGCTTCATATATAAATTATTTTATGCCATAGGGCTACTATATAAAATTAATTAAAAGAGATTACTAAAACGATACAGAATTTACAACATACACATCTGAACTTTTTCCTCTTATTTATTTATATTCTGCATTTTTGTTGGTACATTTGTATGGTTAAGAAAGAAATTAACAATTAGAAAATTCTCAACATTAAACAACCAATGCAAGTATGATGGTTTCAATCCATTTCAAAAGATAGTTTCCAGTTAATTCTCAAAACCATGTGCAAAAGCTAAAAACCAGCTGGAAGAATTTACAGACTTTATTCAAATTGGAAACACTGTTGAAGTCCTACTTTGGTCCATATCTTTCCTTCAGTTTTACTAATTAAGGACATGTCAAATTAAACCAAATAATAAAATGTAAAAAAAAAAACTTTAAAAAAAAAATCTTAAAAAATCAGTTTTGAGTTGAAGAATTATGTTCAGATGTACCTTTTTACAGTACCAAATTGCAGATGTCCAGGGAAAGTAGGGTACAAGAAACTAGAGGACCATCCAATCCATAAAAGAACCTTACCTAAGTTCAAATCTAGGGATCCATGAAAAGTCGATCCCTTAGGATCCTCTACGTTCTCCAATGTCTCCACTCTAGACCTTTTTATCCTGCATGTTAATTGAAAAAATCAGGTCTTAATAAATAAGATCTTGTATTTTTTTTTTTTTTTGGGCACATCAAAAGATTAAGAACTTGCAAGTTGTAAGTGATGACTAACAAATTAACAATACAGAAAAATCAAGGTAAGGAAAGACGAACAATTCCACAAATAAAGTTAAAACTATCTTAGATGTCTATTGAGTGGACAATTAGATCTCGTACATATATAAATGCTCCTCCATACCACAAAATCCCATGTCCCAGAAGTATAAAAGCACAATTGAAAGGGTCTCCTTATTGCAAGTAGTTATATAAACAACTAATCATTATCATTTACATCAAAGCCTTATGCATAGATAGATCGTACCATCTAAAGCCTAATTAGAAAATTCAAATACTAATTTTGTGCCAATTGAAAAGTCAAACTCCAACAAGTGCTAGAATGCACTTAAAATCTTTGTCATCAAATGCTCTAACAAGATTGGTGACAATGAAAAAAAAAAAAAAAAAAGATTAAGTCAAACTCCAAACAATGCTAAGAATTTGCAACTTTTAAAATCTTTGTCATTCAAATGCCTTAAACCAAGATTGGTTACAATTTGAAAAAAAAAAAAAAAAAAAAAAAGATTTTAAGCCCGGGGTCTACCATCTTTGTAAAGCTCTTTTACCAATCCTCTCGATCAACAAACAGTTTAAAGTACAAAACCCAGTTTACTTTCATAAAGCCATTCCCCGAAAATATACATGCAATTAAACCAGGGGAACTTTCAAAAAATTCAAAACTAGTTAAAGTCAAATTTAGTTGGGAGTTAAATTCCAAATAAAAAAAAAAAAAAAAAAAAGATTAAGCGTCTACCATTTGTAAAGCTTCTACCAGTCCTCTCGATCAAACAAAACAGTAAAGGTACAAACCCAGTTTACTTTCTAACCATTCCCAAAATATACATGCAATTAACCAGGAACTTCAAAAATCAACTAGTAAGTCAAATTTAAGTGGAGTAAATTCCAAATATAATCATTCTTCCCATAACTTTAGATTAAGAAACATAGCAAGCAAACAATCTAAAATACCTCTTGCTTTCTATGTCAGGATCATCTTCTGGTTCATCCTTAGCTTCTTCTTCTTCTTCTTCTTCTTCTTCTTCTTCTTCTTCTTCATCATCATCATTTGGTGATGAGTCAGAAGATTTAGAATCCAACTCCGCATCAAGTAAAGCTGCGAAGTCTTCACTACTAGACGAGTGTACCGGAGAATCAGTCACAAGACTCATCTGACAAGTAAGAAGAAGAACCTTAATTTAGCATTCATATGTTACAAATAAAAATAAAACTAAAGCAGCCAGGAATAGTAATAAAAGGATATATTATTTTACTTTCTGAATATGTAGCCATCAATATGCCTATGAAAAGTATATCCTTCCCAATACATCGATACAATTTGCAATCATACAAGACAAAGCCTCACTGCATTTTCTAGCATAACTTGTCTAAGAGATGTTACAAGATCTGTATCATGGTTTTTAAAATCATACAGCAGTTGAATAAAGCCTAGACTAACCCTAAGTAACAGCCATACTGCTGTCAGGTAAATGTTCTGACATATTATCTAAACATTGTTTGCAGGGGTTGCATTAAATCAAATATGAGAAAAGAGAGAAATTTGTGACAAAAGAGAATCAACATCTCTAAAAGAATTAATGAAAGAATTAACCTGAATTCACAGATGAAAAATAATTACTCCTTTTTCTCTATAAACACTTCCTTTCCCCCTTCTTAATTCTTCAGAATTTAAGCTTTTTTATTCTACATCTACCTAATTTCTTGCTTTTTCCTTCCAAAACTTCTAAGCTTTAGTGAATTCTTGAATTACTCACCTGATAGATAAGTTAGTTTAATTTTTATTTCGTGAAAATTAATGAAATCATATAAAAATTGAGATTTGGGTTTGGGGAATTGAGAGGCTTAATAATCAAGAAACCCTGAACTTTGCGAGCTATATTGCACCATGAAACCGAATTAGGTTTAGGGTTTATAATAAAAAAAAAAAAAATTATAAATAGCGTGAAGAGCATAAAGACGCCGCTCAGCTTGCCCTCTCAGCACGCTAATCTATCAAAGGTCATCTCCTTCATCTGGCCAGGTAATCTAGCACCGTTCACTGGATCCAAAAAAAGAGCACCGTTAACCACAGCAATTCTCAACCCACTCAATAACCATCTTCCCCAATTTTCCTCCTCGCTAAACCGAGGTATATGAAATTTATAAAATCGAAGCAATGCCAGTATTAACGTTAACTAATCATTACCGCAAAGACAGAAAAAAGAGCTCAAAATCATCTCTCTTCTGGAAGAGAAAGGCTACAAGAAGATACCAATACAAGATTAAACACAATTACCTGTCGTTTTGAATGGCTGAGATGATGGGATTATTGGGAAAGAAAGAAGAGTTAATATGGACAGCAAAGAGAAGCCCTACAAAAGAAACCGGCTCAATTCCGATAAACACCCATCCTCAGTACGGTGTTGTTTTCTACGAACCAATTCGAGAAGAAACCAATTTTCACAATTCTTCTGCACGAAGGCAACTAATAACAAAAACAAATTAGAGAGAGGTGGCGGAATGGGCTTCTCTGCTGCGTCAATTTTTTCTTTCTTAGCTAGCGGAGAGAGGGATGATTAACAAAGATGCTTTGGGCGACTGTGGCGACTTTCGGAGTCGAGAAACTGGACTATGGAAGTGGAACAGAGAACATTGGATGAGTGCGGTGTCGTTTTGGTAAATCCTACAACCTAAATTGGTTTCGAGGTACAAATACAAGTAGTTGGTTTAATTTAGCTTGTGTTTAATACAATTTTAATAGTAATTTTTCTTTTTGTTTTTCTTTTAGGATCGGGGAAGAGGGATTCGAACCATATAGCCATATATGCATTTACCACTAGCCCTTGATATGCAGTAATTACTGTTTTTTTTTTAATTAATAATAATTTCTGTTAAAATGTAAAATTTAAAATGATATTAAAAATATAATTGTTCTGTATATATTATTGTTATTATTATTATTGAATAATGTATATATTTTTTTCATTTTAAGATGAACATTTTTATTAGAGAAAATAATGGATTCCTAAATTATAATGAATCGAACACACAAGTCATTTTATTTTCAACAAATAAATGTGGAGTCTCCAAATTATGATAAAACTATAATAGGCCCTTCATCTAAAAAGTACCAGCCATAGTTTTAAACGGAAGCATAACTTAGGCACTTATGTGTTAATTCCGCCAGTATATAGGCACTCAAAATTTTAACAAAGAAGGTAATTTCCATCCTGTCCATGTTAATGGGTGAAAAAAATCTCACTTTTTTCCATTTATTTTTGTTCTAATATGTTATTGTCATGACAATTTTTACCAGGCCAGACAGGCACTGAAACTTGCAAGCATAATACCCCTGGAATGACGAAATCAGCCTCTTCTATTTGTAATTAAACGAAAAATTAGAAATTTAGTCTCTCAACTTTCGAAAATTTTCTATTTTAATGCTAAACGGAAAACGTTTGCAATTAAATATTTAAATCCTAAAAACATTTTTAATCGTGTCTCCACTTGTAATGTAAGCCGAAAATACAAACAGTGCAGAGATTTTGTGCCGAGATGGATTTTTTTGGCTTACATGGATATTATACCGCCTTCACTTCCAATTCTTGTTCTCTCTACACTTCCTTGACAAAAACGATACTCTTCAACAACTCTCAAGATTTCCTTGATCCCAATTCCTAAAAACAATAAGCTACCATGCACATTCAATTTCAAATAAATATCAACATTTAAATGAAAAAACTCAAGCCAAAATCTATTTATGCAGGGACCAGTATTTACCCGCTAAAAATATATAAATTCGTTAAAAACAAAAATCAATTTAAAAACAACTACAAAACTAAAATTAAGAACCAAATAACCTAAACCCAATAAAAGCATTTAAACATAGAACAACCGAAATGCCAAAAGAAGAAACTACAAAGCCAAAAACAAGGGAAAAAGGCAAAACTCAAAAGCTCTTTATTCAGTAGCTAGGAGAGAAATAGCAGAAAAAGTCAAAAGTATAACTTTGAATCTAAACAATAGCTAACAAAAGTCCACTGTAGATATACAAAATAAACTCAAGCTATTAACTTCATTTATGCAAAAACATTCTCAGCAACCAATGGAAAAAAATAAAAAAAAGGAGATCGATAATTAAAGAGGGAGATAAAGAACTTGTCTGAGCGAGAAAGAGAGAAGGCGATGGTTTTTGAACAAGGCAATAATTTTAAGAACAAACAACAATGGTGCTCCAAAATCAGTAACACCTGCACATAAATTTGTTCAAATTACACATACCTGCCCCCTTCCATTATGCTTTTCACGTTTATTCTAGTCCCAATTTATGAGTGTGTTTGAGGCTCTGGGGTTTAATCACGAAGTTTACGGTGACATGTGCACGGCGGAATCATTTCAGTGGTTGTGGGTTTGAAGGAGGCGATTAGAGCAAAAGTGTTTAAAGCTGAAAAGTTTATAGGGTTAGGGTTTGGAGGGGTTTTGGGAAGGAAGAGGCTAGAGACTGGAAGATGGCTAATCTTGTGTTCATCGAGGAAGAGATGGCGTGGTGAAAAGATCCAGTGCAAAAGAAAGTAAAGGAGAGGACTGCTAAGTAGGGTCGGCAGCGGGGTGAGTACTCGCAAAAAATAAACTACCCAAATCCGAATTGGTTATTAATTTAAGTATTTAAATTCGTTCCGAATTCATTAAAGAATAAATAAATAATATTCAAATTTATTTTAAATCTATTTAAAAATATCCGCGAATCCCTTTATATACTCATTTAATCACAAATTTATTTAATCCATGAAACCTGAATCCAAACCCGAAGTGAAAAAAAAAACATAAAGAACACGTTAAAATTCAACTTCAAAATAGTAAAATAACTTAACCTGTAATATTCAAAATAATAAAACAAATTAACTAATATTCTCAAATCAATCAACAGTACATAGTAATATTAAAAAAAAAATTGAAATTCAAACAAATATCTCAATTTTCAATTAAATAATTTGACAATCAAACATCTATTAAAATTCAATATCCATAATATCAACCACAAACTAAAAACTAATTAAAATATAATAATACTAAGCTATAACAAATTATCATACAAAATAGTGAAAATAACTTACCTGTAATATTCAAATAATAAAACAAATTAAACTAAATCTCAAATCAATCACAGTACATTAGTTAATATTAAAAAAAAAATTTGATTCTTTCAAACAGAAATATCTCAATTTTCAATAAATAATTTGGGGGGGACAATTCAAAAATCTATTAATAAATTTCAATATCCCACTAAATAAATCAAACATCTATTAAAATTCAATATCCATAATATCAACCACAAACTAAAAACTAATTAAAATATAATAATACTAAGCTATAACAAATTATCATAGAATGATAACTAAATCAATATAAAACATAAAAAAAAGTATGTCAATAAAAAAAATTAATGAATTAAAAAGTATATCAAAACAAAACAACACTACAACAAAAACATATTTGTCTCATTTTTGCTACTATCTTCACAATCTATACTCTCAAATGTTGACATTATATCCTACGAAATAAAATATATGTTTAGATACAATATATTTAAAATATAAAACATATTTAAAATAGAAAAAGAAATCACCTAGTTAGTTAGGCTTAGCTAATTTAAAACTACCTACGGTGAATTAAACTAGTTGCACTCAAGTTTAGGGATAATAAACAAGTTTGCAAATTCAAAGTCTAGCAATATGACTAAAACACTTACAAGTTTAAGCTATCCAAGTCAGCCCCATATCCTTCTCAAAAAGAAAAATTCAGCCCTATATAAAATAAAAAAAAAAAAAAAAAAAAAAAAAAAAAAAAAAAAAAAAAAAAAAAAAAAAAAAAATTCAGCCTATTAACAAAATAATAAATACCAAAAATACAAAAAAAAAAAAAAAAAAAATTCAGCCCTATACAAAATATAAAATACAAAATACAAATATTAAACCTTGTGTTTAGTCCCTTATATAATTTGTGTTATTGCTTTTAGAAGCTTATTTCAAGATGGATTTGTACAGATATCTCATAGTAAAAGAAAAAAACAAGAACAAATTAAACCTATTGCCGTGTTTTGCTTTCACATTTTGTACAAAAAGCATATTCCTTTTAAAGTGTTTTTCTTATTAAGTATGATATTTGTAGCTAACCTCATTTACAATATCAAATTTTAAAATTGGAATCCTATTATTGAAAACCAAACTTTGAATAACTTTAGCCCATTCTCAGTATATGACAATTATCAGAATTTTTAGACAAAAATCAAGAACGAACCAGGCAATTGTAAGCTTGAAGAACACGACTGCTGTAGAGGTGATGGCCAAGAATGAAAGCAACGAGAAGGTATAAACAAAGACTAGCTGTAGAAGTGCAGACAACGAGCGGCACAGAGAAGGGAGGGAGGAGAAAATACGTTTCACTTGAGTTGATTTTGAGAGGACCTTTTTGTTTGTATGATTAAAATTCCACCCATAGGCTAAAACCACATGGTTTTGTTTGTGGATTCATTTAATCCTCCTAAATCAAAACCATGTCATTTTGATGGTAAATTAATTATTTTTGTTATTATTATTATTAAAGTTGTTATTATTATTCTTAAAATTATTATTATTAGTTATTAATGTCATTTCAATATTATAGTAATTGTAATAACAAAATATTATGTAAAGTATTAAGTTTAATATTTTTTACTAGAGAATATATTTAGTATGTTATAATTATATAACAATATATATGATGATAGTAATAAAAAAATAAAAAGACGTTTAACTAAAATCATATTATAATTATGTTTGTAAGTTTATAATAATATTTTATATGAATCATATTCTAATTTACTAAAAGCATATTTAGATTTCTTATTGCATATGAGTCATATTTTAAATTAAGATCTTATTATAATTATCATTACAAGTTTACTAGTAATGTTGATAAATAACTTTAAAAATTTTAAATTATAACATTATTAGCGTTCTATTTAATTAATAATTTTTTTATTTTTAATAAATTTCATAATTATTCATAATTACAAACTATAAAAATCTAATTTAACAAATTACTAAGAAACATGACAATTTATAATATATATATTATAATATAAAATATATATATATATATATATATTATATTATATAGTTCTTATAAAAAAACTATAATTCATTTATTAATATTATAAAAAAAACTAAATTCAATTTATTAAGATATTATAATTTAATGTACGTGATTTTATTAAAATTCACTTGTGAATAAGATATATCATCCAATAATATCATATTCATTACTAAATGTTTAAATATAAATCACTATAATTACCGGTATATGTATTTTTGCATATTTCTTACATAAGAATTTTAAGTAACTTGGTGGTAAAGTAACTTAAATGATATATAGAAGTCATGGATTGTCATAAAAATTTTGCTTTAAATCATTTGCGCAATGATGCGGAGTAAGTACTCATTACCCGACCACCTGAATCCAAATCTGCTCCGAACTTGATGCAAGTACTAAAATCACCACCGACTTGAATTTGAATCCGCCCCGAACCCGTTGGGGGTACTAAAATCACTATCCAAATACGTCTCAAACCCGCTAAAATCATGTCTGATCGAATCGGGTACTCCTAGGTCGAGTTAAATTGCTATCCTTGCTGCTGAGTTGTCCACTAC